TTACTTCCTCATTTTCAAGACGGCCTACACCAAATGGCTCAAACTACAAGGGCTTCCACCATCCCTAGTTCAACACCTACAGCCTTTCCTTGAGCACCAATGGCGCCTTCACAACACACACCTCAAGCAGCAACCCCGTTTTACGGCCCGCCTGCTTCGCCAACTCCAAGAACATTTGGGTAAACACACATTACTCCACCATGCCGATCATGAGCTCCAACAACTGCGACTGTTTTGCCCTCGCCAATACTTCACTGGCGCCTTGAACACCTGGCAATCCCCCGAACTATTTGAACCACTTCCCTACATCACTGCCGCCAACATCCATGACCACCTGGCCGCCACCGTCCCCCCCATCCTGCGCACCCGCTACAAGTGGGGCTTCCGAAAAGACTTCAACATCCCCTACGGGGTTGTCCACCTTAAAGAGAAGAAGCACTGGCAAAAAGGCCGTACAATTATATCCTACTTCCAATCACTAAGCGGCAACTTGCTACGCATCACCAGCCGTGCCCTCGACATTATCCTCCAACACCTCTACCCTCAGCATCCAGGCCAAATGTCCATTCCTCAGCTTTGGCATCACTTTCACAGTTACCTCACCCAAACCCCACCCGACATCTCACTACACGCCACCAACGATGACCTGGTCGGCTTTTTCAACTCCGTCCCCCAGCACCGACTCATCGATGCAGTCCACTCCCTTGTTCTCCACTGGCAACAACAGCAATCCACACACACCTTAACGGTGGATGTCCAGGCCACCGGCAATCCTTTCCACCACTCCCACATTGGCAGACACCATCGCAAACACCCTACCCAACGCACCATCCAGACTTCCGACATCACCACCATTGTGGCTTTTGCCCTCGACACATGCATTTTCCGGGCTTGCAACAACACTTACAAACAAATCCGAGGGGCCGGGATTGGATCCCAGCTCTCTCCAGCCCTATGCAACGTTGCTATCACCCTCATTGAGCACTCCTGGCATCAGATACACAACAACCTCCTTCAACGCACAGACCTCCACTTTACTTACTATCGCTATGTTGACAACCGGCTATCCAAACCCTTATCCACCACAATTTCTTTGGCGACCCTGTGGAACTCGAACCGGTGGAGGATTTTCATCTCCTCGGTTTCAACATCGACCTCCCACAACGCACTATCACCTACATGCAACCTTCTCAACCCTGGAAAATCCGGGATTCCACAACCGCCGGGAGCCAGCGCTTGGCTCTATCAGGCCTCCAATCACGACTCCACACCATTCGAAAATACACATTTCCACCCTCCAGCGCTGACGCTGCTGCGGCTGAACTCGTGAACCTATATGTCCAAAAGGGGCATAACTACCACGCCTGCCACCGGTTTTTGAAAAAAGCGCCGAATGCGGCGACCTGTGTGTGTCCCACCCTGGACAAAGGGTCTTTCACCACCACTCTTTCCACTTTACACAGGCAGGGGCGTGTGGCCTTCTTGTCCTACCACACGCAATGAAGCTGTGGACAAGAAGGGGAAGCAGGGACTGATCATCCCTGTGTACCTGCTCGTTTCTCCACAAGCTGTCACTCCAATTTTCCATTTTTTGATTCATGGTCGTTTGCATGATACTTCCCACAAACCTATTCGTCCCCAGCAGCTGCGCCGCCGGTTTGCTTGCTGCCGCCTTTGTGACAACAATGTTCAACCTTTCAAGTGCTCGGACCCATGCACCTTTCTGTTCTCTCACCTTCCTTCCCAACGTGACTTGCGTTAACTGAAAACCAGTGTCAGAGTGTGTGTTTGTTTGTTTGTTTGTGTGTCTCCATCGGGCGCTGCACCTGCATGGACTGCAATTTCCCTTGGTGGTATCGCCATTGAGAATGTCTTGAGACACACAGACATGGAATTGGAAAGCATATCCCCTTGAAGAAGTAGACTATATACGTACTGGTTCCTGTCTTCCACTTCCAAGTGCCCGACAGTCCAAACAGATAATTTACCAAGGAGACGTTTTAGTGCACTCTGCCAGGCCTTTCTGAAGCAATCTCATCAAACGTGCAAGCCGTTTATGCTGCAGTCGCTGGTGGGATCTTGACATTAATCAATCCAATATAATCCAATTATATCCATGTACTGGTCAGCGGTCGTCTCGTGCCTTTGCCTCCTTGAACCGCCTTCTCAAACAAGCTTGCTCATGGCCTCCCACCCTGCTAACTGGGAAGTTGATGACGCCTACGAGGATAGAGCACATCATGTTTGTGTGTGTGCGTGTAACCCTTGGAATCATAGGGATCCTTTTGGATTTGCTCAGCTTGCTTTCTTACTTTCTAGTTTTACCACAGCAGGGGGGGCAATGAACACTTTGGAAGGCATTGCCCAACGAAGACCCTTCCATCGTGTTGTGATATTCCTGAGGGACGCCTCGGGAACGTACCTGCATTTTTCCTTTTCCATTTTGAATGGCGAGAGGCTAAGCCAAGAACCTCACTGACATGGTTGTTGCTGCAGACACGCACGGAACGCCGTCAGCCTGTCGCCTCGTCGGTTCGTGGCCTTTAACTACAGGAACTCAGGCCCCCTTTACCTGGTCTTTTCAGGATTTGAGTTTCTTAGGCTGGCGTGTGGCACCGCTTTCAGTTCAGTACACCCTATCCTAAGTGTGTTTGGCCTCGTGCCAACCCGGGATGAGCCCGCAGAGTGCCTCCCGTGGACCCGTCGAACGGGTGTACGTCGTTGTCTCCCCTGCCCGGAGATGTACGTGTCCGCAGCGGACAGTAGCTGGCTCATGCCACCAGAACTCCAATTTTGTCTCACTTTAAGAATTCCAAGCTGGCTTATGCCTTTACGTGACCGTAGTGGTCAAAGGTGGCAGCCCCTGGGCAAGCCGTACGTGGTCGCAGTGACCGAAGTTTGTTCAAGGTTCATTGGAACCTGTCGAGACCTTGGGTGCACATACAGCGTATACACTCAAACGAGGCAGGTTTTCCTAGGTCGTTTTAATGAGGTTCGGCTTCACCGGTTCTCGTCCCCTCCATTTGGTTCCCCTTTCATCCCTTCCCCTTCACACACTTTTGTTTCCTCTTTTCTTTCATGTCCTCCTGTCTTCATGTCTGGTCATCTCATCCTTTTCTTCGTTTGCGCGCACATTGGTCCCGGCCTTAGTGTGTACGTGCACTTCTACATACATTTAAACACAGGTTTCAGGTCGCCCAGGTCTTTACAATGAGGTGGGCTTCATCGGTTGTCCCTGTGCACTTGGTTCCCCTTTCATTTCAACCACACGCACCTTTGTCCCGTCTCGTCCTCTTGTCACGTCTTCATTTTCTTGTCTCTTGTGCGCGCACACGTGCACATTGGCCCTCACCTTAGTTTCTCGCCTCCCCTCGGGGAGGCGTGTGTGTGTAACCCTTGGAATCATAGGGATCCTTTTGGATTTGCTCAGCTTGCTTTCTCGCTTTCTAGTTTTACCGCAGCAGGGGGGCAATGAACACTTTGGAAGGCATTGCCCAACGAAGACCCTTCCATCGTGTTGTGATATTCCTGAGGGGCGCCTCGGGAACGTACCTGCATTTTTCCTTTTCCATTTTGAATGGCGAGAGGCTAAGCCAAGAACCTCACTGACATGGTTGTTGCTGCAGACACGCACGGAACGCCGTCAGCCTGTCGCCTCGTCGGTTCGTGGCCTTTAACTACAGGAACTCAGGCCCCCTTTACCTGGTCTTTTCAGGATTTGGGTTTCTTAGGCTGGCGTGTGGCACCGCTTTCAGTTCAGTACACCCTATCCTAAGTGTGTCTGTGTGTGTCAACTCCTGTCTCTAAGGAACTCGACCACACAAGGAATGTAACGATTTAATTCGATTGACAGCTCTTTTCATCATTGTACAGTGCAGGGGGGCAGTGATCCTTTCAACAGTCACTGCCTAACAAAGACACTGTTGATCAGATGTGATATTCGGAGAGGACGCTCTCTGAACGTACCTGCGACTTCATGTGAGCATTCTGGGTGTAAACCATACTGTTTAGGCTGACTCAGGTTCAGGCTTGAGCGCTCTACATCGGCATTGTAATCACTAGTGTGGAGGATTAGCTCTTGCGAGCATTTATCTAAGTGTGTCTCGCCACAGAGTCCCACTGTGGGCTGTGGTGTGATCCCCAGCGAGGGGCGCGGTATTGCACATGCCCTTACGGGTGAACCTCCCAGGAATCATCGGTTCTGCGCTGGAGCTTCATAAGTTTCTGCTCGAAAATGCTGACTCTCTGCCGCAGGGCCTACTGAATTCTCTGCAGAATGTCACGCATCATGCGTCTAAGTAATCATAGGATTTAGGATTTTGGTTCTTTCTCTCTCGCTGTACCTTTCACACTGAGTAATTCATGCACGGTCTTGCTTTCCTTCTTTCCAGGGTTCTTTCCTCTTCTTCAGGTTTTCGTTCGTTGCTAGAGGTTTTTTAGGTCTCAGGTAAACTTTTTAGTCGAGGGTGCGCCGATTAGAGCTTTCTGACCAAATGCCTTCGGGCCTGAGCCAGCCACCCCATGCACCCTTTCTTTCCTTTCCTTGCCTTTTTCGTTTGTTTTGTCTTTCCTTCAGGCTTGTTAGGTCGACTTTAGGCTC